CCCAGCCATGCCCTCCCACACCGGAAATTGAAGCGGTAACCTTTGCACTCTGCAAACACCGCATGTGAACCCTAAAATGCGCGGTAACATTCACTGTGGTTCTAAAGCCGTGATTGATTCTATCCATTCTGGTCAAATAAAATAGGGACTTGGCAGCTATTAAAAGACACGGTGTATTGTCTGATTGAGAGGTTCACTATAAATGCGTCACACACACACACTAAGTAGTAGTAGCGTAAGTTGCTGTCTTGATGGACGAGCCGATAACTTCGCAGCCAGGGGGTACATGTTTGTGAGACATAAGGTAAGGTAACATCCATTTATTTTTATCCGTCATTTTTTGTTACAAATACTGAAGTAATGCTACTTTATACAGATCATACGTAAACGATAACATATATCGATATAAAATTACCCTTGTAATTTTAATAAATGTCAAAAACCCCTTCAAGCAACTGGTTTTGCCGAGATCTTCCGGGCATTTTCATGTTGTAAATACGGGGGACGTCGATTTTGTGCTACTGGAATTAAAGACATATTTTTGAACAAATGTTGCATTTTCCTAGTTTAAGGGTGACTCTTTGATAATTAATTCCAAAACAAGAAAATATTGGCTTGCTAGAACTGACAAAATCAACGCACTTTTCTGAAGTGTGATTTGGTACGGTCCGCACAAGTTTCGCGCCATTTCTATCATTTCGGCGCCGTTCGTCTTTCAATTTCTGTCACAGAGGACACAGAGCGGTCACAGAGCAAACAAGAAACACGACCAAACGACGTGAGTATTAAATAACCGCATCTTTATTGTGAAGCTAAGGAGACATTAGCCAAAGAGAGAACTAAAATCTTACATTCCTAAGTCAACTTTAGCTCCTTGATTTTAATAGTGCGAAAACTGTGTGGCTGCACAAATGTTACAAGTAAACTATATATCATTAAAAAGGTTTGGGACTGGATTTGTCCACTCTTGCATGAAAGATGAAGCATAAATATTCCTTTGCATAAAAGACAATCTCATAAGCACAAACAACGATGTTTGCTAAGTTGAAGAAGGAGCCACATTTACATAATCTATTACTAGTAAGTTCCTATATTCACTGTGACCTATTGGTGTGTACTTGCATTTTATTCACAGATCCATCCACATCTGCAATAACATACCCAGTACCCACAAAACATCTGAAGTCCGGTAGCACAATGGTGGGTCTCAATACTTACGTTATACTGAAAGTAGAATAAATTTGAAACTGTTCTTTCAAAACTTAACTAACTATGGAACGTTTTGAGTACAACAACTTATCTAAACAGCAAAATGCATTCCCATTAACAGATCCTCACGCTGCAGACTGTGCATCACAGTGACATAGCTGCACTTGTTGTAGCACAGGAAGACCCACCGGAGATGAAGGTCCAAGTGTACCAACGCCCCGGAGCCCCAATCGCCGGGTTGATGATGTACGCTAGGTTGGACGGCACGTGGTACCCATGCGGTTGGATTCGCGAGAAGAACAAGGACTCTGTCCTTAATTTGTCATCGGAAGGGGGCTTAGAAAGCCTGAGCTGTGTCCTACAAGACCGGTACACTAAGAAAGGCTACCATGTCTTAAAAGTTAGCATACTTTAGAGCCTTATCAAAATGTTTTGACGGCACTACAATTCACTACATTACAATATTTAAACAGCACTAAAGTTTACTACGTTATAATAGTTAAACATTGGTTGAAATTTCTAACCACAAGTAATAAAATTGTAAATGTAATAGATGTTTAAAAGCTACACACTGCAATGTAGG